CGGCCATGCCATAATTCATTTTTTAGCTCATTAGCTAACAGGGGCTGTGAGCAGCGGGCCTCCGGGGGATTGGAATGAGGGGAGGTGATGTACTGCCGGCTCCTCTGCTCTTGAACTGGCCTTCCTTGGGGGAGATTAAAGCACAGCCAAGACAGGGGGTCCCGGAGGCGAGACTGGGACATCAGGGCGACAATGAGGGTGTTTGTGCTTCTGCATCATGGCTGCTTGGGGCGAATGGTTTTAGCAGAATATTTGGTTTTAGGCAGAAAAAGCATCTTCGTTCGCGTGTCCACCTTTAACATGTGAACTGTTGGCACAGAAACCAAAAGAGAATGACAGAGAACTAGGGGCTTAAATAGCAGACATTGACCTTCTCACAGCTCTGGAGGCTGGAAGTCCAAGGTCAAGGTATCGGCAGGGTTGGTTTCTGGTGAGGCCTCTTCCTGGCTTGCAGAGGGCGACCCCTCGCTGTGTTCTCACGTGGTCTGTCTCTTCCCTGTGTGCACACAGAGAGACAGACGGACAAAGAGAAAGAGAGGTGTCCAGTGTCTCATAAAGCATCAGTCCCATCAGATTGGGTCCTACCCTCATGACTTCATTTAACCTGAATTACCTGCTACACACTCTACCTCCAAATGCATTACAACTGGGCATCGGGGGGTCAACATTTGAATTGGGGGAGGGGACATAACTCAGTCCAAACTTCCAGGAAGACTTTAGACATCTCAAGGCTGTAGGCAGGGGCTGGCCAGACTTGGCCAAGAGATCCTAACAGCCAGGGGATATGTGAACCAACTGAGCAGCCCTCGCCCCAGTGCCTCGGGGCCTCCTGCCTGGGAGGAAGGGTGGCCCGTAAGGCACGGATGGGTTTATCAAGGCCCCTGGCCAGGGCCCTCTCTCACCCTGCCAGGCACGGTGACCATGGGAAGCTCATTTGTACAGACAACTGGGATTTAGAGACCGAAGCATCCCGCAGGCACTTCGGCCCCACCCACCATGTAGTCAGCACGTCTGTGTCGCACACACAGCACCCCAGAGGCGAGCTCTTACCTACCTGATAGCAAAGTGACATTACAGATGTTATTCTTTTCACTCACAACACCCTCCACAGCTGCCCTGTGCAGAGTGACAGCTGTGGCCAGCACATCGTCCAGACACGTGGCCTCACATCCACAGCCACCGTGCCTGCTATAGACGTCACTGCGCCCATTTTACAGATGAAGAAAGGCGGACCAAGGCGTTAGGGAGGTTGCAAAAGTCTGCAGCACGGAGAACAAAGCAGACACACGAACCCCATGGTCTCTGATGCTGATGCCACGGCTATTTCCTCTCCCTGTGTCTGCAAAAAACACCCTGATTTCAGCTTCCCCTAGTGTGTGTGGGGGTGGGGGGGGTACAAGCGCAGGAAAGGTGGTCTACGTGATAGTAATAGTCCCCAGAATGCCCCTGGAGTCCTCTGTCCCTGTGGGCTGGATTTCAGCTGCAGAAGAGAAGCACCCGGAACAGTAGGGCGCCCAGTGGCCGCCTTCTCAGCTTTCTGCCTGCCTCTTGGTGTCTGAGAACACACGGAAACATTGCAGTCCTGTGGGATCCAGAGCTGTGGTTCTGTCCAATAGTAAAAGCCACACCTTGATCAGACCTGGGAATGTCCTAGTGGAGGGGGAGGGGCATGGGGCAGGGAGAGGCAGCCCACCCAGAGGCCACCTGGAGGCTCTGCACCTGCCTGGTCCCTTGCAGTGCCCTCAGGCGTGCCTGCGTCAGCCTGCTCTGCAGGTGTTGGAGGTGCTAAAGCCCTTATCAGGAATAGTCACCCTGCCCCTCCCGTAGGGTCGCAGTTCGCAGGTGGACCAGAGGAGAGGCTAACGCAGCCCCTCCGACACCCTGCTTCTAGTTCTGTACACACAGTATTAGAGCCTTCTCCTGGTGAAGGTGCCCCAAAGAGCCAGCATTTTTAGCCCCACCCAACCCAGAACCGCCTTTAAACACTGACTTTTCAGAGCAGAGCATAATTTAAACAGGATGCTCATTCAGACGCGGGTCGTCGAGTTCAGTGAATTCAGGTGAACTTGTCTGTGGGGTGACGGCCACCCCGCACATGCCCCACAGGAGAGGAGGCAGACGCTGTGGGCTCACCCTCATTCTTTGGGGCATTTGAATATCACAAAGGAAATGGAATCATTGCGGCTCGGACTAGATTTCCACGTTCTGCTCTTCGGTTCATCCCTGGGTGACTGGCAGTGAGGATTAAAAGCAAGCGGAGCAGAATAAAACAGCTCTGATTTTAATGCCTACCCCAAATTAGAGTTAGCAAATTGGAACTTGAAGACCTGGACGTATCCTTCACCACTGTTGCTTTTCATCTCGTTCACGTCTTGCTCTTTCTCGTGGGTGATTTATGAAATGCATCAACATATGCTGAATACATTTTAAATAAGGTTCTTAAATAGCTTGAGCTCGCGGTGTGGCTGGGGCGTCCGACTCTCGCCTGCGCTGCTGTCCCAGGGACGTTGCCCATGTGCCAGGGCCTGTGTTTTGGCCCAAGTGGAGACAACACGCCTGTCCCCGCGGGAGCCAGAGCCACGTTTGGGGGTGCTGGTGCGGCTGCTCAGCTGCAGCCCAGAGTTTGGCCTGGAAATCTCCACATGGAAAGGGTCAGGGGTCACTGTGGGGTCACTCGCAGGGACCAGGAAGTGAAGCACAACTAATCCTGACTTACTGTGGAGGGATTTGTTTGCCTAAGTATTTAAAAGCAGATTAGGGCATCACCAGACACTACCGCCAGGAGCAGTGTCAACACGGGTAAAAGGTGTAAACAAGGCTTTTTCCGTCCTTCGGAAGAAAAAAACGTCCGGGTAATGAGTTTTCTTCTGGAGAGCCGGCCCTCAGTGCCGTCTCCCTCGCTGGAGCTAGGCCTGGTTGCTCTGCCGGGAGAATGCTGGGTTTCCGAGGGGTGGTGAGTGCTGTGCCTTTAGGTCCCTGTGGGCAATTGCGGCCACTCCTTGTCTGCAGGGCTTTCCTTCTCCTCTCCGGCCTCAGAAGCACCTGTCCGGATAGCGCCCCTTCCCCTGCTGCCCTGACCCTCCTCACCTGAGAGCCGCTTGCTTCTGCCTCTTGCATTTTCCTGCCCCCGACCTTTTTTTCCTAACAGTGCTGCAAAGTGTTGAGAGTTGCTGAGTATTTTCAATGTCTCTTACGTCCCTTTTGAAGAAACTAAAACCACACGCCACCTGGTGGTCAG